TGCTGTTGCCTGGGTTCTTTTGTTTATCCACTCAATTCAAAAAATGATTCACTTTCCCAAAGGGATGGGGAGTTATTATGGCGATATTCATGAAGACAGAAATTCTAGCTATGTGGGTAGGCTTCATGGTGATCACAGAGTGGCCAGGCCTCTCCAAGACTAGAATGATCTTTGGGAATAGGAGGTCATGCAGAGCCCAGTGAAACTCTGGCACCTCTATCTTTATCTGGCTGGCTAACTTCTGCTCTGCTCTACCTTACGATTTCTATTTATGCATAGTTTCTAATGCCTAGTAGCTAATTAGCCTGCACTCTCTGCCTTATTCTCTCCATGAATCATTTAGTTTTTATAATGCCTGTGAACTAACTTTATCTTCAGTAGTTCCAGTTCATATGGCCAAGTTTAAGAATATAACTGGTCCATTTCATCACTTTTACTCATATGGGAAAGCACTCCCTGTCGACTCATAGGCCACCCCTTGCTACTCAATTCAGTCCTGGGATTAAATGTCCTTTCCTGGACCAATCAGCTGTGGTCAGGAGGCCAGGTCAAATGGAAAGAATATTTTAGGACCAGGCTCTCAGAGTATGGAGGGCTATTGCTACAGACATGTTCTGAAGTCTGGCTTATGCTTTCTAACATTGTTTAGTCATAAGGCTTTTGCATTTAGGCTTTAATTATGAAAAATTATAAATTATCTTTTTTCTTTAAATTTAGAAGGCAGTTTACAGTCCAACATTATTCTACTATTTTGGATATATCTGTCATATTGCTATCTTTACTTTTGTATCTAAACAAAATGATAATAAATATTCACATCCATCCATAAGCTCTTTCTATATTATTTCCTTGGGATGTTGAGAACGTGATACACATTGTAATGCTTTCCCTACCTGATGAATAATATACCCCTTTTCTTTCACCCTTAGCATTTCAATTACATTTTACCATCACAAGCTCTGTGCTAAGAATGTATGCAGATGTGTCACAATAAAGATAACCAGGATTCAAATGAGAGTACTTAATAAACATTTCAGTGTTATCTAGAACACTAACAAGAAAATCAAACGCAGCTCTTACAAATATCAATAATAAGAATCTTGGCCAAATCAATGTTAACGTCATTTTTATACTTGGAAAAACATGGAGCACACAATTATGTAGGCTAAAAAAATCAATAACTTGACTCACACTTAAAAGTAAGATAATACATTAAAAGGATGATTTCAAGTATTGTTCATTTAGAAAATTTCTACGGAAAGATTCAATTTTACCTCGAGACTTGTGACCAGCAGCACACGTTACAACGTGGGGGACTGGTGTTAGAAAAGCAGTTTGTGGCTATGAAACAGATCAAAACTAACTAGCCATTAGGGAATGGAACCCACAACCTTGATCTCATTAGTACCAGGCTTAAACCAACTGAATGAGCCTTAAACTGATAACATTCTGAGACCTAGCAGAAGGATGGATTTTCACTCCTTAAAATTCCTTTCTTGGTTCCATATTATTTGTACCAAACTGTGACAGTGTTCCTGTTCTGTGAGAAAGATGGGGAAGGACATGGCTTTCAAAGAGGCCTCAGAAATCAATGACTGTTCTCTTTGTCTAACTAGTGAGAGAATTGAAGCCCTGAAATGTGAGGTGACCTGCCTAATGGTTCCCAGCAGGTGGTGGCAGAACTGGATTAGAACACAAATCTCTTGGACTTCACTCCAATTTCAATTTGTGAGGGACTGGCCCATGGAGGAGGTCGTCCTTGAACTGTTCCAGGCCAGGAAGAGTGAATCCTATCGATGCAGGACAAGCTCAGTGTTAGGAAAAGGGAGTTTAGGTTTTTAAACTGAAGTTCACACAGAGTAGAGGTAGGAGAATGGAGTAGAGTGAGAGAGGTTTCATTTTATTTATTTTTACTTTTTATTTTCATTAAGAAAATATATTTAAATTCAATTTAGTTAACACAGAGTGTATCACTAGTTTCAGGGATTGAATTTAGTGATTCATCAGTTGCATACAACACCCAGTGCTCATCACAACAAGTGCTCTCCTTCAATGCCCATCACCCAATCACCCCATCCCCCCCATCCACCTCCCCTCCAGCACCCCTCAGTTTGTTTCCTAGAGTTAAGAGTCCAGTGAGAGAGGTTTTAGATGACCTTCACTGGGAGGTTACGGGAAGCCTCAAAAATTCTCTGAAGAACGAATGCAGTGATTTGTTTAAAATATTTTCCATGTAAGATAACTCTAGCTTCAGAATATTTAGGAATGGAGTAATCTGAAGTCTTTTGGGGGGAATAAGTTTGGGTTTAAATAAATCGGTACAAAGAATAATAAAGGAATGAACTAATACTTTTGTTTGAGGTGTCAAGGAAATTGAAATCTCATCTGAAGGACGGATTTGGTATGTAGGTGTCAGAGGGTAGAGCAGGGTGGAATGGGAGGTGGGGAGTGCTGGAGAGTGATGAGATTCAGTGAAGCTAGAAAGAAGGGATTCATGATGAATTATTAAGCAGTGACTAAGTGGTGGGTGGATGGGTGAAGGAACAGCAAAGAAGCTTCTACGAGTATATTACCATTTAGGGACCGGATGGAGAGAGGTCCTGTAAATAGTAGTAGTTTACCTGAAGAATACCACAATGTTATCTAGATCCTAATGCTGCATTCTGCCTCTGTCTCAGGTGGTGGCACTAAAGGATTCTCTGTAGAAAAATGTGGTAGCAGTCTTAATTTTACATGTGAGTACCTTCAAAATATCTCCTACCCTGAACCACATCTTGGGAACAGCCGTGATGAAATCTTTGAGGTTTTATGAGTGATCTCTGGGGGAGAAAGGCAAATCTCTATTCCAGAGAGCCTCAACTCACCTTTATTTTTGTTAGTGGACCTCAATTAGTGCACAGGTCCCAGGCAAGCCTTGTTCTCCAAACCCTCAGACGTCCTCTGATTGGATCCTTTTTCCCAGAGGAAAAGTGGAAAAACGCACCAGGGATGGTGGTCCTTCAAGAATCAGCTTAGGTATGACTTTTTCTGGACAACCTGTCCTCATCGCCATAGGTGCTCCTCAACCGTCCTTGCCCTGCATACCCTACTATGACCTACCATATTGTAATGCAATGCCCAGTTCGCTAGACTCTCTTGCCAGACTCAATTCCTTGTGGCCTAGTTTTTGTCTGCTGTTATTCCCTAGCACCTTGCAGAATGCTCAGCACAAGAAGGCCATTAATATAAGTTTACAGACTTTTAAACCAACATCTCTGAAAATATGTGTGAAACAGAAATATCATGCAGAAGTTATCTAGAGAGAATAAATCTAAAATGGATTTTTAGAAAGAAAACTCTAAAATTTAAGGGTTTTTTTTTCTTTGTGGTATGGTCTTAGTTTTGCACATAGTTCATGGCCTTTCTTTTCTGCTCCTCCTATAGTCTGCCTTTGGCCATTTCACTGCTTATTATTCAAGGACTAAGGAGAAAAGGAGAGGAGCTGAAATTCACATCAGTTAATTAGGCTGTTTGGGAGCAGCTCTGAAAAGGGTTGGATGTGGTGGGTGAAATCAATAGTTAACTGGTGGTCTGAGATTATCTATAGCTTTCACTAACCCAGCTCCACTGCTCCACTTCGTACCCCTAAACCAATGGCTGCTCGACATACGAGCATATTTTATAAACTCATTTCAGCTTCATGGGTTTGTTCCTTTGTTCTTGAGTACACGGTAAGACATATGTCCTGATTTTTGGTTTGGAGAATTTGGTCACTGTACCAACAGAAGAGACTGTGGGATGGGCAGCTTCTCTAGGGCAATTTCATGGTCCTAAAGGAAGAAATTACCAGTTTATTTTCTGAAACTGGTTCAAGGAACATCCCTTAAGTAAAAAAAAAAAAAAAAAAAAAAAAAAATCAATCAAGAAATAATATTACTTACATTTTGAAGAAGGATTTTTAATACAGTATTTCCATCTGTGATATATTTAAATTCTGGGCCTCGGGCAGCAATTTTGAAAAAAAGGCCTCCTTTACCTTTTACCAGATGCAAAATAAATAGCCCACTCTGAGGGCCGGAGCCTTTCCCTTACTTTCCCCACCCCTGCCAAATATAAGACTTGCTTGTGCCATTCTGGAAATCACACGTGCTACTCCTTTTTTTTCTCCAACCGCAAACTGTTATTGACATTACAATGTTTATCACAACTTCAATTACACAAATTATTTTGTAATACTTGTAACCAGTAGAAAAGGAGAATGGTGAGCTGCCCAAAAGGAGGTCTGCAGTCAATAAGTGGAAGGCTGTCAATACTGAAATACAATACTCTCCCCTGATCTAGTTTTGACGCCTTAACAAAGACAGGTTTGGCTCTTTAGGACGGCTCAGCCATCTTGATTGGTTACATGAAGGTTACTAGTCCTGGATCTGCCGATTGCCCGGGTCTAGGAACACTGATTTCTAAGTTGATGAACGAATCCAAACATATTTCACAACAGAGGCCTAACATGCTGAAGCTGTCAATAAAGACCCAACACTTGAGGAACCGAAAGAACACACAAGTTTTACACGCACACTTAACCCGTGCATTCTTCCAGTCCTCAAAGCGGGGGAGGTTCTACTGCGTAGAAGCTTAAAACTTTCTTATTTTTCACGACCTGTAGCATGCATTGAGCCTGTGGGTAGTGTTTGTATAAGACCAAGGCCCACTCTTTAATGGCTGAATGAATCCATTTACAGTACATGCTGGATTAGCTGCTCTGAGAATTGCCTTTAAAAAAAAAAAAGTAAAGTGAAAAATAGACAAAGAAATCTACAACCTGAGCAGTCTCTCATATTTGTTTTGACTGTTCTGGCACCAGCCCTGAGCCGGTGACAAGGCCATTGAAAAGATGCACCTGAAACACTATCTGCGGGCAGCTGATTTGCCGACCGGCTTTATTGCTGCTTTCCAGCGGCGAAGGCGCAGTAGCAGTAACAGGGAAGCCAGCGCGAGCCTCCCCGGCAGCGGCGGCGGCCGCGGCGGCACCAGCACCAGCGCAGTTTCCCCTCTCCCCAGCCCTGACTCTACGCGCACATGCGCACTGCGCCCGCAGCCCTGGACCATTTGTCAGGACTACTCGTGAGACGGAGAAAAAAAAAAGAGAAAATTTGGGGGTAAGAAGCGGTTGATCGGATCTAACCTCTAATTAATCAGAAGATTTGTCCGTGCAAAAGCCATTCATTTATTTTTCTGGGTGAGGATGAAAGTTAAGAGACCTATAGAGAGAAGGAAGCGCACCCTCGTCTTGTGAAACAGATCAGGGGAGGGGAAAGGACAGAAGGGGTTTCTCCCCCACTTCTCTGCGCCTCTGGGAAAGAGGAGAAAACTTAATCCCGGGGAAAAAAAGTGGGCAAGTGACTCGGAAACGGCTGGAGGGGGAGTCTCTGGGCATCTCACTCTGAAGTAGTGAGTGCGAGTGTGAAAGAGGAACAAAAGAGAGAGAAAAGAGAAAGGAAAAAATGGGGGGAGGAGAGACTTGTATTTTTTTCTTTGCGCGCACACGGGGAAGGGTGTGGGGGGCCGTGCTGAAGGGAGCCGGGGCGAGGCGGCCGCGTCGGGCTCGCGCGGCGCGCAGGCGGCGGGATGCGTGTGGGCCCCCTCCCCCGCGCCCCCCGAGCTTGTCACTTCGGTCGCTTTCATGACACCGGGCGCGGGGTGGGGGAGCGCGGCGGCGCCGGGCTCCGCCGGGGTGCGTGCCCGAGTGGGCGCCGCGGAGCTGCAGCCCGGGCGGCGAGCGCGGCCGCCGAGGCTGGGGGCGCCGGCGGGGGGCGCGGGGGCGGCCGGGGCGGCGGATCGGGGCGGCGGGAGGCGCGAGCCCCGCGCGCCGCCCCTGCGGCCCCCTCCGCCCGTGTGGCCTTTGTGCCGGGCGCGCACCGGAGAGCGAGCGAGCGAGCGAGCGAGCGCGAGAAGTACAAGTACGGGAGACCGAGGCAGTGGGAAAAGAGGCCGGGCCACTTTCTCCCCGCTCGGGCTGCGGAGAATGGACTGGTTGAATGTGCAGGCGCGTCTCCCCGGCGTGTGCTGTGTGTGTGCGCGGCGGAAAGGCCTCCCCGACTCCCACCGCGCACACGCACACTCACACGCACGCACACACTCGCGGACCCGCGGCTGGGCTCGGCGGCCGAGAGTTTGCGTTTTCTTCCTCGCCGCCTCCCCCTTCCCGACCGACTGTGTGAGAATTTCATATAGATCAGCTCCAATTTCCGCCATTTTGGGAAAGTTGCACAAAAATAAACCCTCCGGTTTATTTCTGCCCGAGGCAGGAAAGTGCTTCGGGAAGCAAGGCGGCGCGGGCCCGCCGCGGCCGTCCGCGCGGGGGAGGGCGCGGGCCGCGGGCCGGGCCGGGAGCCCGCGCCGTCGCGGCGTTCGCCCCGCTCCGTGCCGAGCCGCGCCGGCCAGGGTGCGGGCGCGGGCGTGTGTCGGGAGGCGGCGGCGGCGGCGGCGGCGGCGGCCGCGCCGGGGCGGCGGGCGGGCGGGGGGGAGGCACGGGGCTGCTTTTCCTGCAACTTGTTTACGCCGCCCTTATATTGGGGAGGCAGAGAGGGGTCCGGGTCGGGCCGCCGCCCGCCTCGCGCCGCGTGCGTGTGCCATTCCGGAATAATGGGTTTTGCACACTCGCGTCCTGGGCCCGGCGGGCCGTCCTCGCGCCGCGGCGGCCGGGCGGGGGGAAGTAGAGGCCGGCGGGGGTGGGGATCGGGAAGCGCAGAAGCCGAGGCATCCGCCGCGCGCCCCGCGAGCTGGGGGGGGGGGGGGAGGGAGGAAAACTTGTGAGCCCTGGAGGCGGGGGGGGGGGCATGGTGGCACGGGCGGGGGGAGGACGCAACTTTTGTGCTGGTGGTAAAACTTTAATTACCTTTAAAGAAAAAGGCCTTTTGATTACCTCCCCCCCCCCCCTTCTGGTCAAAGCATGGCCCACAGTGCGACCGTGAGAGAAAGTTTAAAAGCAGGCGGTTTCTTAGCCGCCTTCTCCGCGGAGGGGTGGGGGTATCTGTTTGTCCGTCTGCGCTCGGAGAGAGGTGGGGGTAACGAGTCGCCCTCCGGGGTCGCGAAGACCGTAGCCCTTACCCCACCCTTCCACGGGGAGACGAAGGTAAACGTCGCTTCAGTTTCCCTCCTCCCCGCCTCCCCCCCCCCCCCGCTTCCTTTTCCTCCCCCTCCCCGCCGATTTTTTTGAGGGGACCCAAAAAACGGAGTCTCTTTCCTTATGCAACTTCCTCGGGCGCTGTGAGCACGGCCCTTCCCCCTCCCTGCATCCCTTGGCCCGCTCCTTTCCCACCTCGGGTCCACCGCCAGAGAAAATGCATTAGAAATCATTCAAAGTCTACAGAAACAAAAATAGATTTTTTTAATTGTTTTAAGTTTAAGTTAAGGGAAACGGATGAGAAATAAGGTTTTGGGTGGGGGGGGCGGACGACGGCTAGGCGAGTGCGTCGAATTTTAATTTTGATTTTCCTAAAGCGTTGTTTGTGATATTTTTATTGGTTTGGGGAGCCCGAGAGTCTCTGTACTGGCTAGTTCGGTCGCGTGGATTTTTGCGCAAGTTTTTAGAAAAACACTGACTCGAGTAGAGCATTTCTCCGGAAAGTTTCAAGTGCAGCAAAATAGCGAACATGCAAAACTGGCCAAGGGGAGACCTCTAGTGGTTAAACGCATCTTTAAGTTCGGAAGGCCGAGAGCAAAGTTTGGCCTTTGCTTGTAGCTACGTAGTCTATTCAGACGTGGAAGTAATTAGAGGACCTGAGCGAGCAGCCAGATGTTGTGTGAATGGATGCCGATCAGAAATAGAAGGTTTAGTAAATTGGAGAGCAGATAAGTTCTGACGACCCAGAGCCTGTAGCTTCGATCCCTCTTCATTTATATGGGAAAAACACTTTGCTTTTATTCGGGGATTTGAGATGGGTCCGTAACTGGGTTAGAAACAGTTTGTCTTTATATTTATTATTGTCTTTATCTTTAATCAATCAGGAGTCACAGCAGGTCGTTTCATTTTGAATGTTAATAAAAATACAAAGTGTTTAAAACTTCGAAAAAAAATGAAAAAGACCTTTGGTTGAAATTTGTCTTTTATATAAGCTGATCATTTTATTCTCTAATAAATATAATTAAAGGATGGTGCTTAGTTTCTTAACCGTGCCTTTATATATAGTCAGTCATAAAATAAGCAGTCCCTTAGTTCTAAGAGTGTAATTTTGTTTCACTGGTTAAGACATTACTTCTGAATACTTTGTTTAAGTTGTGATTTAAATATTTACATACATGGGAAAAAACTGCTTACATAATATCTATTCATTTGCTAGCGTGTGTTCTGCAAAGTAACTTTAATTTTAAAGATAAAAGCACTGAGAAAAATTAAAGTTGAATCAAATGATCCCTGTAACTTTCACCTGCTGGTCATACAAAGGGGGAATCTTTAATTTAGGAATTTACGATAAGGGAATGATATGAATGATAAAATCCATTTCGTCTCATCCCGAACTAGTTTATTTTATTTTTAATATACTGAGTGGTATTGTGTGAAATTATGCAATAAGTCAGTGATTCAAAATTTAAACATATTAATTGTGGACTTGAAGGCTTCTTTTTTATTACAAAGCATTGATTTTATATTTCCTCTCTTTCAATTAGTGCTGGACCTTTAGGAGAAGTCTTGGGGGTGGACAGCAATCCTAAAGACTACCGGGGAGTTATTTCTTCACTGCCACTAGGTAAGATTTGCTTGTTGAAACAAATTGCTTGATATATTTGCAAATGTTAAAAGCTGCGCTTGGGGATCAGGAAGGAGAATGTGGGACAGGGTTGACAGAAAAGCATCATTTTGTGGGGGCTGTTTTGAATGCATGAAAGTCTTGACATGAAGTGTGATGGAGGCTCAAGTAAACAAAACATTAAGAAAAGTTCCAAGATTGTCCTGGATAATTTTTGGACTGGCTTTTTAATAGATTCTTAATTTTCATTTCAGTTGTACCTGTTTTCTACTGAAAGCAAATAGTTTTATTCTTTGAAATTGAAAAAATGGGAAAACTAGAACAAAGCACTTGTAAGTTAATGTAACTGTTGTAACACAGTGATATGGAAGATTCTGGAACTTGTTAAAATTTTGTAGGTGAAATTTACAACAAGAGTTTTTGGGCATTTAAGTAATTTAACTTTTGTGGCTTAAATCCAGTGTGGGCCAACTTGTGCCAAATATCAAGCCAAAGGGCTGTGACTTTCCAGGTGTTAGCATAGACTTGTCAACTTTTGAACATATCTCCACAGAGAATATAGCTGTTGTCTAATAAGATCCCTTTGGTAATTTTGGAGGGTGCTTGCTGGTTTATGTCTAGTAATTCAGGGCCCATTTTCAGGACAAAGGTTGTTCTCCAGCAAAGAGGGCAGCCCTCTGTAGGTAAACCGTCAAAGTATATTTGTGCTACTCTAGTGCTTTCTATTTATATGTCCCCACCCCCTGACCCCCCGATTTAATTTTTTTCCTCTCCTTTTTTCCTTCTTTTCATTTGGTCTGTTTTAAGTATTAAAGGAGTTGCTAATTCTTGTTTGGGAAAAACAAATAAAACAAAATCAATTAGTCCTACCTTTTTTGAGTAAGACTAATAATCCTCATTGGGCTATCTTGGAACTGGGATAGCTATGACCTAGATGTCAACACTGAATAGTTACTGGTGTAAAAATGATTGTTAACGGGAGTTTATTGCCATTTTCTGCTTGTGGATGGTCTTGAATGGTGTAAGTAGCCAAATAAATAGATTGGGTCCATGTGGATGATGCAACAGAGACAGTGGGGAGAGAGCAACTCCAAGATCATGCAGACAGAAGTAGAGTGCAAGCAGAGTAGAAGGTGTTTCCTAGGATGCTGAGTTTCATGTTTAGAAATGCTGAGTGGGGGTGCCTGGGTGGCTCAGTTGGTTAAGCGACTGCCTTCGGCTCAGGTCATGATCTTGGAGTCCCGGGATCGAGTCCCGCATCGGGCTCCCTGCTCGGCAGGGAGTCTGCTTCTCCCTCTGACCCTCCTCCCTCTCATGCTCTCTGTAGCTCATTCTCTCTGTCTCAAATAAATAAATAAAATCTTTAAAAAAAAAAAATGCTGAGTGGAAGACAGTGATTGTTTTTCTTCATTTGGGGAATCACTGTGGCTGTGGATAGAGTGCTAAAGTGGGAATCAGAAGACAGTTTGGCTTCTAAATGTATCACATTGTATCAGTCACTTTACCTCTTTCAGCCTAGATTTCCCCATCTGGAAAATGGGGGCAACAGTGCTTGCTTCACTTCCTTTGTTGAAAGGATAAAATAAGGTTTTGAGAACTATAAAGACTTATTCAAATGTTTGGTAGTCATATTACCATTTTACCTTAGCCAGGTTTTGTGAAGGGCAGGAAGTAGGTTGTAAAGGGTAGAACAGAGTGATTTAAATCCTGGCTAAAATTATGAGATTGGTTTCTGGTATATATATTATGTGGACTTGTCACAATACTTCCAGGAGATATTTCTTTTCTTTAGGAAAAAAGTAGTTTATCTTTAATAGCATTAGCTCATTGCAGGAAGGGACCATGTTTTAACATGATGCTGAATATAAACTGAAATTTATTTATCCCAATCTAGTCATTTAATAGGTAGGAGTAAGTGAAATAAATCAAATTTAAAATGATGCCTAATTGTGGAAATGGGAGGGTAGTGAAAGTAGAAGGGTTGGTGTGAGGGGAATTCGTGTACTGTAATTAATATTTTAGTTGTGTGAGTCTGCTGGGAAATGAACATGAGAAAATAGGTAACTGGGGTAGTAAGATTTATACTCTAGGGGTCAGAAAATGGGTCCTGCAAATGACTGGATTTAGGGAAAGGTGCATGCAGGGCTTCCCCCCACTCCACTTAGGTTTTCTAGACCCCTTTGCTACTTTATTCTAATTATAACTAACCGCCTATTACCGAGATAAGAAAAAGTCACAAGTATTGTCTGTCATCATTCTCAATTTGCTGATACTGAACTTGACAAACCCTGACAAGTTTTAGTTAGTTTTCGTGCATCTCTCATCTCTCTCTACAAGAGAAGAGAGATGAACATCCAATCAGTGTTCTAAGAATTCAAAAACTCAATAGTGGAGGGAAGGAGAAATATGTGTCCTGTTGAATTAGTCCTTGAGTAATTGAGGGTTGGTTCTTGAATAGTTTCCCCTAGTTTGTTTGGTAGTTTATTTCTAGGAATATATATTTCTTTCTTTCTTTCTCTTTTTTCTTTCTTTCTTTCTCTTTTTTCTTTCTTTCTTTCTTTCAAGATTTTATTTATTTATTTGATGGAGAGAGACACAGTGAGAGAGGGAACAGAAGCAGGGGGAGTGGGAGAGGGAGAAGCAGGCTTCCCGCCAAGCAGGGAGCCTGATGCGGGGCTCAGTTCCAGGACCCTGGGATCATGACCTGAACTGAAGGCAGACGCTTAACGACCGAGCCACCCAGGCACCCTTCTAAGAGTATATATTTCAACCCAGGCTTTTTGTGGCAGATATAGTTAAGATGGGAAATTTATAAGAGAAGTTACTTTATGTGGTATGGGACAAGGGTACCCTTGGGATTCAGAGGATGGGTAACCTGAGTGATCCCTTTTGCAATGTTTCTCCTAGTTAACTAATTTTTCTTGAGCTCTTATATCTTATAGTGCTGAACACCGAAAGACTAGGTCTTTGCCCTTGAGTTCCCTAGACCCTCACCCCAGTAGTGGACACAGCTCTGAACTCTGTTAAGAACCAAGCTGCACTTGGTACCAGTAGGAAAGAACAAGGGACCCAGCACTCTTGGGAGCCGGTGAGTCAGGAAACAGATTCCTGGGTTGACTGAGCAGGACAATGCCATATAATTGTATATACATGGCACAATGTTCCATCCCCTTTTTAACGCTTAGTCTTCAGAAATTAATAAGAAGCTCTTTACCCGTGATATGGAATTTCTGAATTATATATCTGGTGACGGTGATGGGTTTGGGCAGTTCTTTTCTTCTTTGACTAGTGTGTTCACAAGGATAACTTCCTGGTGTAGATTGTTCTTCTTGCTCCCATTGAGGAACTCATTCCTCACAAGAATTTGGGGGACACTGTATTTAAAGAGAACCAGTTATTTGGGAGGCACTGTATTTAGAGAGAACTACTTACACCTTCATATGTGTGTATATTTGTATATGATGTCTTGAAATTCAGGGCATCCGCAGAAAATATATTTTGTAAAGGACCTCATTATCCAATGGGAATATTCTCAGGTTGTCTGTTTAGTAAGTTAGATTATTTTACTGACACATGAGGATATGGGTTAACAGTGGCACATTATGAACTAGTTTGTCCTGCTTGTAGCAACAGCTCTGCAGCAAGTGGAGGAAAGCAAAAGGCCAGGAAAAGGGTACCCTTGCAATGTAACTGAGTTTGATTTATGAAGTCAAGTTGAGAAAGACGTTTAAGAAATTCCCCCTTGACGAGACAGGGTGGTTTGGGGGAAAGAACAGGACTTTTGAGAGGGAGTTGAGTGAAGTTGGGTGATCTTGGATGAGAGAACTTCCTTAGAAGTGGACCTAGAATCGGTTAGTTGGGCAGCGATTGGAGGAATTACATGTGTATTATATGTAATAGTAAAATGTTTCCTTTATTATTCTTCCTGTAAGCCAGTGTTTTGTGTCTGTCAACAAATATTTATTGAGCACCTGTTTTTTTGGAAGTCTCAGCTGGGGAGTGCTTCACATAATCTTCACTTAGAACAGGGCTGAATGAATGAATGGGTTAGGGCTACAAAGAAACAGCAGACCTTGGCCTCCATGTGTTCGTAATTCCAGTTGAGGAAATAACCCGCACCACATACCGTACAGTGGGGACTAACGAAACAAAGCCACAGTTCAGCGCTCGTGCTCCGGAAAGGTAGAGATGAATGCAGTGAGCACTATGGTGGTACCACTGGATGTGGCCTTAAACGTATTGCTGAGGTAAAGACCTGGGAGGTGGGGAGTCCTCCGCAAAACACTGCCAAGTGTTGCTATATTAAGTATAATTGTATATTGAGTGCCTTCTGAATGCCAGGCATTGAGCTAGGCACTTTATATTCTTTCATTCATTCATTCATTCATTCATTCACTTATTTATGTGCCCAACAAATACTTACTGGGTGCCTTCTCTCTGCCCAGGCGCTGGTGTAGCTCTGAGTATTGTCTTGCATACTTTCCCTAACCTTCTGCAGTTGGTATTATTGTTTCACTTTGAGAGCAAACTGGTGCTCAGAGATAGCAACTTGTCTAAGTTCATATCATGCCGTTTGAAAGGGGTAGGACCAGGGAAATTGATACTGGCTTATGATTGTCTTGTTATGTCTTTAGGTTTCTAATTTTCAAAAAAGTAATTCTTAGAATATTTTTAAGAAAACACATTTCCAGATTAATGTATTTACTCTTATGCATTTGTTTACTAAGATAAGCAATAGCAAACAGGTATCAGAAAAAATAATGGGGAGAAAACTCTATTTCTTCACTTTCCTTTCTTTTTTTTTCTTTTTTAAACCAAGAATTGGGAAAAGACCGACTACTGAATTATACTGAAAAGAACACCTTGGTCTGTCTCATGGCCTTGAAATGATCACAAACTGTTAAGAAAACATGACTCAGATTAGGTATGAGAATTACTGGGCTTATTTGTAAAGAGGTTTCACTTGTTCTTTGTAGGAAGAGGATAGATGAGGCGGTAGG